TATATATATATATATATATATATATATAAACATTTTGCATTTAAGATCAAATATTTTTCATCTGTATCCAGAACCAAGTGTTGGTTTTAATCATGCTAGCCACTCTAATAGCTAATGCTAAAGGCAGTTTACAATGTCCAGCTATTTTTATATTAATTTTAAAATAGAAAAATAAGGCTTTCTTCTCTTATGGATATGATAATTAACTTTAATATCAACATATTTATTAAACCAATTACCCAGTTTAGAAATGCAATACATCTAATCCACTTTAGGAAAGTCAACACCCCTGACTAGAAACATTTTCATCCATCTCTGGTTATAAATCACCGTTTCCAGTTTAGTCCGGTTTAAACTGGAAAGCTGTGGTGTTGGGATACAGATGTTACGTTGGGCACCGCTGTCGTAATTTGACAACATGTGTTGATTTAATTATCACCCGCTTCTAATAAAGGAAGATTGTCAGCAGAAAAAGAACCACAAGGTTTCTACCAGTTGTACATTAACAGCTTCTAGTTGCCAGAGGTTTCAAGTTACAAAGCAAAAATATTTTGTTACCTTTCTTTTCCCCCCAGCTTTTATTGTCATTACACTGTTACAGAGGAAGGACATGAACTCTCTGCATTTAACCCATCCCCTTGGGGAGCAGTGGCCTGCCTTTGTGCAGCGCCTGGGGAGCAGTGTGGGGTTAAGGGTCTTTGCAATTATCTCTACTTTCTACTCCTTAAATTTTAGAGATAGACTTTTAAGTTTGTTTCATTAAAATTAATTTTCTTCACAGCCCGTTAGTATAAAAAAATAAAAATAAAAACCATCGAAATAATTTTTGATTTATCCAGAATATTTGTTGTTCACAACATACCAAAATAAACAATTTTTCAGGATGATGCCAAGTTAAATTAGACATGGTTAGCATTAGTTATAAAATTAAGTAGCCTATAAAGTCATGGTCTTGTTTCTATTGTGCTTTACTTTGCTCCATGTTTCCTAGTTTTATTGGTTTTATTCCTTTTTTGTTGTAATTTCTAGATTTATGTTACTTCTCATGTTTTTCTGTTG